AGGATGAGTATGGAAAGGATGCTGCCAAAGATGTACAAGGACCTCTTGGGAATTGTGTCAGATTGCCGAAGAAAGTTTGTGTCACCTTGATATTCGACCGCAGCCGTACTCCCTCGAAGAGGAAGTAGGAAGTCTTGTATGGGAATATCCCACAGTATCCCTGCAATGGAGCATAGACCAGAGCAGGAAGAACGTATGGAGGAAAGACCTGGAGCAGAAGCAAGAGTGGAAGAGGCATCTGCTGGAATGGAACCCACAGCAGGAACTCTTGAGCTGGAACAGCAGCAATCTGAGGATGTGCCTGCAGCAGCAAGAAGGCACACAGAAGTACTTACGCTCCCGAAGGTGGACAGAGGAGCAGCCCCTGCAACTCCAGCGATCCGCCCAGGAGAGACCTCTGCACCCGCGACAGGTACCAAAAGCCGAACAGAAAGGAGACAAGAAGAAAGCTGCGAGAAAGGAAGAGAAGAGAAACAAGCGTATGGAGAAGTCTGCGAGAAAGGCTGAAGAAGCTGAAGCAGAAAAGTCTGAAGGAACTCCTGCAAGAACGCCAGTGCGAAGGAAGCTCGACATCGCTATGGAGAATGCAGGCAGTATCGAATCAGTACTTTTACTCGAACGGGAGTATAAGGCTCTTCAGCGAGACCCGTCGCACAGACCGAACTTCTTTTTCCTTATCGATATTCCCCGTACAGTATTTGGCCCCGCGGCAGGGGAAGAAGAAAGGGCTAAGCTTACGAAGCTTCGAGAAGAAGAAGAAGCAGAGGCAGCTCAGCCAGCAGCAGCAGAAGCAGAAGAAATGGACGAAGGTTCTGCCTCAAGGAAGCGAAAGCTTGACGAACTGGAGCAGAAGAAGAAAGCTCTGGAAGAAGAGAATGCTAAGAAGCAGAAGGAGATCGAAGACGAAGCAAAGAGGATCCGAGCGGTGGAAGAAGCCGAACGTAGAGCGAAGGAACAGCGAGCTAAGAACCCCAAGCTTCAAGTACCCGTGGCAGCTGAGAAAAGTGAGAAGCCTGAAACCTGGTTCGAACGGAAGGCCACAGAACTGGTCGAAAGCTTCATCCAAGGATGTATCCCTCAGCAGAAGAAAGCCAGTGAAGCAGAAGCCGCGTATACGGATGCATGCCGTGGCGCAGAAAGAGCACAAGCAAGCTTTATCGAAGCCTTGCAACAGGCGCAGAACTGCGCGGAGCAGTTGCAGGCGCAGATGGGGCAAGCACTGGAGAGAGCCATTGAACATGGCGAGGAGCAAGCAAAAGCCCGACTGTATACGATGGCAAAGCAGAAATGCTCGCGACCAGAAGTTCCTAAGGTCAAGGCGAGGCCTCAGATTCCAGCAGGACTCAAGGAGAAGCTCAAGAAGGAAGAAGCAGGCAAGCAGGTAAGCCTGGTAAGAAAGAGGATGCTGGAAAGTCTGATGGAGGCAAGCCTACGAGTTCCCAGCCTGGACCGTTTTGGGGACCTTACGCCAAGGTGCAGCCAGCAGAAGAGACGAAGGGCAAAGACTGGCGTGAGAAGGTGTATGAAGATGAATGGAAAGCTGGGAGAACAGTTCGCTCAGACGAGGAGTACTTGCCATGTACTTACTAGCCGTTTTCGCCTGAATGGCAGGAGAAGGTGCGTAAGACCCTGTGGGACCTCTCCCACCGGGGGTTCACTGCGAACTCGGAGGGTGAATTGTCTCCGACGAGACAATTCCCATGGCAGCTACGTTCGTATGCTGAATTCATGGCCATCCAGAACAGCCTCCAGGATGACTACGGGATCAGGTTGGTATGGAAAAGCCAAGAAGTTAAAGGCAGATCGAAGTCGATGGACGAATGGCACTGCTACCCGATTGGCCGGAGGAAGATGGAGAAGACCGATAGGTCCGGAACTCCGTACACAGTACTGGGCAGCTTACCTCCAAGCAAAAACATGTGCTCAGTATGCTGGAGCGAAGGGCACTGGAAGAACCAGTGCAAGCTCAAGGAGATGGTACTCGAGCTCTGGGAGCCCGCGCTCACGGTCTTGCAGCTCAAGGAAAAGCTCAGGAAATTCTTCCCGTTGCGTAACATTGTATGCGACAAATACAAGGACGAAAAGGATGAGTACCAGCGGTATTACCCCGCTATCGCGTTCGCGGACTACGGCGCGATCAGCAGCCAGATACGTGAACTCAACGCCGCCAAGTACAAGGATGCAAAGCCCTAACGAGTACCCAGAAATCGAACCTCCTGAATGAAGATGAGCGAGGAGAGCAACCTGTACCACCTGGAGGTGAAGTTGTCCCGTATGCTGCATCAAAGAAAGCAGCGAAGCCTTCGGAAACAGGGCAAGGCAAGGGTATGGAAGGCCACGAGAAAGACCCCTTGGAGATGCAGGATTCGGCCAAGAAGAGGCGAGCAAAGTTGCTTGAGAAGGACAGTGACAAGGTGCAGAAGACAGAAGTGGTCGACGTGGAGGACGATGCCGCTAGCAAGAAGTCCAGTGGCAAAGGAAAAGGTACAATCTGGACTAGTGAGCCACCACTTCCCGCAGGTCACTGGGAGAACCGCCCTCGGAGAGATGAAAGCAAGGAAGCCCTCAGAAAGAAGCTCGAAGAGCACAAGAAGGAGAAGCTCGAAGAGTACCACAAACAGAAGCTACGCGACACCTTCGAGAGGCACCTCAGCGGTAAAGGAGCTGGAAGTGACGCACCCAAGTCTGCCGGTAGCGAAGAAGGACCAGCCACAGAAGCCGCCAGTGGCACGAAAGAAGTACCAAAGGAGACAGGCCCGGGACCGGACGAAGCAGGATCGGACCCCGAAAGCAGTGAGTCAAGCGAATCTTCGGGGGAATGCGACGATCCGGTACAAGAGAACCCGGATGGTACTGCGGACATGGAGTAGACTTGTACAGCAGCTACTCGAGAAAGGACTGGATCAGAGTGTAGGCAGAATGCCTATCGTGGCGCTTGAGCTACTTGTATGTCTACTTCTTCAGTTGGTCTTCAACTGCGCAAAATTCGGACAAACTCTTCGTGAAGACTGCATCCGAAGAACGCAAAAAGGTGCGCAAAGTTGTTCTTGTATGTGACGGAAGGTCAACCGTATGCACAGTATCAGATGGAGAAGAAGAGTGAGCAATTGTAAAAGGAGTATCAAGTTGTTTGTGTTTGCGATGCTGATTGTCAGGACCGAAGCTATGGA